GCCTCTTAGAAGCCTCTTAGCGGTTTCTTTGAGGCCTCTTAGAAGCTGCGCCGAGGTTTCTCAGAGGCCTTTTAGAAGCCTCGTAGAAGCTTCGTAGATGTTTTTTTGAGAAGCTTCTTAGAGGCCTCGTAGAGGTTTCTTAGAGGATTCTTATAAGTTTTTAAAAGGCTTCGTAGAAGCTCCTGGGAGGCTTCCTAGAAGCTTCTAAGAGGATTCTTAGAAGCCTCGTAAAGGCTTCGTAGAGGCTTAATAGAAGCTTATCATAAATGTCTAAGAGGCCTTTGTTAGTTCGCGATGCTGCTTAGAGGTTTCCCTGAGGCTTCTAAGAAGCCCTTTTCAGAGGCCTCTTAGAAGTCTTTTAGAAGCCTCTAGGAGGTTTCTAAGAAGCTTCTTAAAAGCCTCTAAGAGGATCCCTAGAAACCTGCCTCTTAGAAGCCTCTCGGAGGCCTCTTGAAGGCCTTTTTAGAAGTTTGTTTTAAGGCTCGTTAGAAGCTTATTATAAGCTTCTAAAATGTTTTTGAGATGTCCCCGAAGGGTTTCTTAGAGGCTTGTCCGAGGCTTTCTACAGGCCTGTTAGAAGCGTTTAAGAGGCGTGAACAATGCCTCTCTACGACGAGTAAAATTCATTCACAGTTTAGAAAAAGACACTGGGGAATATTGACCGGGGAAAACTCCATTCCACCAGTGTAGATACCATCAAACCGGTGTTTACAATTCGATCGAGGGGGGGGGGGGGGGGCGCTGCGTGGCCGCGGAGGCGGGCTCTTGGGCCGGCGGCCGCGGCGTCGGCGGCGCCAGTTGCGCTGGCAGGCGGCACGACTTCGGCGGTGGTGGCAGCCTTTGCCTCTGCAGCGGCGGCCGCTACAGCGACGGCGACGGCGGCCTCGGCGGCGTCAAGGTGGACGGCGACGGTGGACTCTGCGACGGTGACGGCGGTTTCGGCGGCGGCGAGGCCGACGGCGGCGGCAGGAGCCTTCTCGAGCCCGTGGGCGGGGGTTCTGGGGCGGGTTTTCTCCTCGAGTGAGAGGGGGGGTCGCTCCCCCTGGCGTCCTTTCCCATCGTTTCCCCCCCCCTCTCGCTCACTCATGCCACCCCGACCCCCGAGACTGAGACCCACGGTAAATAAATCCAACACACACACATACATACATACATACATACCTACCTACCTACCTACCTACCTACCTACATATATACATACATACATACATACATACATACATACATACATACATACATACATACATACATACATACATACATACATACATACATACATACATACATACATACACACATACACACATACATACATACATAAAAACATACACGCGTACACACATACATACACACATACATACATACATAGACACACACCAGGGCTGCTGCAGAATACCTTCCCGTCCCGAACCCCATCCTCACAAGTGACGGTCTAGCATATTTAATAAAGAAACCTCCTGCAGAGAAACTGGGCAAGCATTTCCTTGCGAACTTGCCGCACAACTGGCCCAGTTTCGTAAGCACGTTCGCCCTCCAGCGATAACGCTAAAGTTTGGCCCAGGGTTGTCTTAAGAGACCCAGCTGGCCCAGGTTTCTCAATGTGTAATGTTCTTGACCATATATTCGGCTGCACTGCATTTCACATGATTCTTGATAGCTGGCGCCCGCAGGACGTGCAAGTGTCCTATATCGACATGAATGGTGAGTACCTTGCGTGTGGGTTCGTGTTGACACATTATGCGGCGAGCCTGGGCTGAACCTCTTCGTGTCGTCGCTGTCTCAGGGTAGTCTCGACCTTCGCGCTTTGGCTGCCGCGCTACTTTTCGCGATCGGGGCATCCGAAACTGTTTTTGTGTTTCGCTGCAGCGCGGCAGAGGCGATCCGCACGCGCGCTCTAGCAAGCCGGGCTCGGGCACGCCCTCTCCGTCCGGCGGCAAGAGGGGGGGCCGAGGCGGAGCGCGGCCGCGGAGGGCGGGAGAGGGAGGGGGGGCACTCACAGCGCGAAGAACTTCGACGGAGGTGGCCAGGGCGACCATCAGGAGCCAAAAAAAAACACAGACACAATTATTCGACGATCCCGAGGAAAATATGGGAAAATATTGGAAGTGGGGGGAGGACAAAAACCCAGAAAATATGGGAAAATATGGGGAATCTTTTTCTTTGTGTGTATTTATTTGTGTGTCCTGGGGCCCCTTCAGACCAGGCCTGTGCTGAAGCAGCCTGGCAGTGGACGCGGGGCGGCATCGCGGCCATGCGCAGGGGCTGAGGCGCAGGCTGCACGCACGGCAAACGAAGACCAAGTTGTACCCACACAGGCGGGCGGCATCTAGCTGTTCGTCAGAAGGCCCCTGGCCGACCCGCTTTCAAACGACGCGAAGCTCGTGACAAAATCGGATCGGGATAACTCGAAATCTCTGAGAATCGGCGGGTTTGGAGGATGTATTGGGCGGCTGCTCCAGAGCGTTCCGGAACGCTCTGAGAGCGCTCCGGAACGCTCTGGAGCGATTTATCCCGACCCTTGCCCTGTTTTACGCTTTGCTGCAGGGATGGGCCGGCGGATGCGGGAAGGCCCAGGCCCAAACAGGCAAGGCCGCGACCATTTCGCGGCAGCAAAACGCTGCAAGAGCCTGGGCATCCGAAAGCACGCTGGTCTCAGCTCGCGCTGGATCCTTGACCACCGGATATTGTCCTTTCAGGATCATCGGTTGGATCGTTCCGCATGTCTTGGCGAGACATTGGGACTGTGCATGCTGGACCCCACCTTATCCGCCCGCGCCCAACATGTATTCAAATTCGGGTACGCGCCCCACCTGAAAAAATTGAAGCTGAACCGGAACTGGAATCAGAACTCGGTCAGTTCCCGTTCGAGTACCAGAACCAGAACCAGAACCGAAATTGAACCAGAACTGAAACCAGAATTCGACCATTCGTCAGAAAAAGAAACAAGATTGGAACCGGAATTGAACCAGAATTCAGGCCAGAATTTGACCAGCTCTCGTTCGAGAACCAGAACACGACCGGAATTGAACCAGAACTGACACGTGAACTCAGCCAGCTCCCGTTCGAGAACCAGCACGGGTAGCGGAACTGAACCAGGATTGAGACCAGATCTCGGTCAGTTCCCGTTCGTCAGAAGGAGAAACAGAACCGAAACCAGAGTTGAACTAGAATTGAAACCCGAACTCGACCGTTTCTGGTTCGAGAACCAGAACCAGAACCATAATGAAATCAGAACTGAAACAAGGCCTAAGCCAGAGCTGAACCAGAGTTGAAACCGGAATTCGGCCAGTTCCCGCTCGAGAGCCAGAACGGAAACCAGAATTGAGATTGGAGCTCGGCCAGTTCCCGTTCGCCAAAAGGAAAGCCTGAACCAGAACCGGAACTGAACCAGAATTGAGGCCAGAATTGGACCAGTTCTTGTTCGAGAAACACAACCCGAAACGGAATTGAACCAGAATTGAAACCAGAATTCGGCCAGTTCCCGTTCGTCAGCAGGGGAATCAAAGCTGGAATCAGACCTGAACCAGAATTGAAGACGGAACTCGGTCACATCCCGTTCGTCAGAAAGAGAACCAATACCAGAATTGGAAGTGCAGCAGACGTGATACCAGAATTCAGCCAGCTCCTGCTCGAGAACTGGAACCCTTTTTGCGAGATATTCATCAACGGTCGCAGTATTGTTTGGCCGCGCACGTTCACACGCGCCATGACCATGGATGCTGTTACGGAGAAAGTGTTGAGACAGGGGTCGCTTTCCGTTCATATTGCTGCGGTCTCGGGCGAGAGCAAGATTTTGAAAAAAGAACCGCCACCCCATCTTTGTAGCCGCTGAGAATCTCAAGCTTCAGGACCCAAACGCGCAAGGACACCCCACGCAATAACCAGATGCTCAAGTGGGAGCGCCCTTCAGCTGCGCGGGCGCTGGGAAATCCCAGCCTGCGGAGCGTTAGTTGCAAGGGCTTCCTTGGCGAGAGCTCGTTCTTGAAGAGCTATCGCCCTCCATCCTTGCAGCTGCTGGATATTAAGCCCACACCGTGTTTGATACTCGCAATTCTTGGAATGGTTCAAAGAAGCGCGCGCGCCGCGACCGCAAAAACAAGTGCCGTATCGAGTGGCCTCCGGACAGCGCCGCCGATCTGGGGCTCTCCCCCTGTCGGGGGGGGCGCCAGGGTGGGGGTCCCTCCTCTCCGCTCCAAGTGTGTCCCTGGACCTTCCCATATTGCTATTCGGGATGGGCGAATCAAGACCAAAATGGGTCCCGCGGGCACGGGGGGGGGGGGGGGAATCTAGTACACGCCCCCCCCACACCCCTCCCCCCCATTCCCCGGCAGAGCCACCCCGACACCCCCCCCAGCAGAGCTGAGCTGAAGCTCGGGTTTTTGTCAACTCGCACGCCGGATCGGCGGATTTTGAGAACAAGCCCCAGCCTCCATCCGTGTGACCGCCAGGATTTTCAGCCATTAGGGCCGTGAGGGGCGTGCTGAAGTATGAGGTGAAGCGCCCAGACCGCCTCACCGCCGCGTCTGGCGGTTAGGCCTGGACGCGCGGAGCGTAGAGGAGTTACACCCTGTGGTGTGGGGCTCGTCGCCTGCTGAATGACGAGAGAGCCTTGCGCCAGTTCGGCCTGGTGGCCGGGCGCGACTCTCGGCAGCCATGGCCAGGAAAGATGACGGAAGAGGGGTGGGAAGGGAAGGAAGGGAGAACAGGGGAGGAGGGAGAAAACGAAGCAAGGAGGAGCGGGAGGAGGAAGAGGCGGAGCAGCAGCAGCAGCAGCAGCAGGAGGGGGAAGGGGGAATGATGGACGGGGGGAGGCAAGGATAGAAGGGAGGATAGGAAGAGGAAGGCGAGGAGCGGAAAGAGGACGACGGAAGGGCACCGGTGAGGAGGTTCTGCGGGTCGAGGGCCAGGGCTGCCGCGACACGAGCCGCAGCCCCCCGCGGGCGCCCCCAGGTCGGGTCGGGCCCGAAGGCCAAGGCGCTCTCCGAGAGAGACCGGCGGAGGCGGGGGCCGCGCCGAAGCCAAGATTGCCATGGGGTCTGGCCGCTTGCCCTGACATCGTCGCGTCGTGTAGAAGTCACGGCGGATGGTTTTCCCGATGTTCGGGTTCCCGGGGCCGTCGCCAGGCCCTGGTCGTCGCGTCGTGAAGAAATCACGGCGGATGGTTTTCCCGATGTTCGGGTTCCTGGGGCCGTCGCCAGGCCCTGACATCGTCGCGTCGTGTAGAAGTCACGGCGGATGGTTTTCCCGATGTTCGGGTTCCCGGGGCCGTCGCCAGGCCCTGGGGCTGTCAGAAAACGGCTCAGGAGGTCCAGATCTTTCGAGGGGCCACGATGCGGCAAAATACGAAGTCGGATGTCAGGGTGTTGATGGCGAGGAAGGAGGCCGGGGGAGAAGGGAGAGGAGGGTGGGCAAAGGGGAAGAGGCGGAGGGGGGCATGGAGGGGGAGAGGGCGCGCCCTGTCGCTGGCACCAAGGTGGACAGTCCCCCTCCACAAGGGTGTCTCGAGAAGCCTTCCACGCGGAGGCACTCCCCGCTTCATGAGTCCTTATTACACGACGGTGAGCACACGTTTGGAAGATGAGCTCCCCACACAGCCTTCATCATTCCTGCGAGACATGTTTCGTCTGACTAGCAATCGCCCTCCATGCATGCATCTGCTACGAGCTCCAAGATGTAGAATCAATCAGTTCTCGAAAGAGGCAAGCGAGAGCTTCTGAACGGTATCAGTAAGGCACCGCCTCCTTGGTGGCCACCCTTGACGCTGCCGTTCCTCCTCTTCCTTCTCATGTCCAAGACTCGATGTCTGCGTGTTATCCTCGCGCAGGGGGGCATGTTGACATTTTTTGTTTCGTCCCATCCTGAACGAGGCGCAGAGCTGCTGATTCTCATAATTGTCATTATTGCCTCTCTTCTTCCTTCTCCTCCTCCTGTTCCTCTTCCTCTTTCTCCTCCTCCTCCTCCTCTTCCTCCTCCTCCTCCTTTCCCTCCTTCTCGGGGGACGTTCTGCCGTTCTGGTTTAGTGCGTGTTATGACCCAGCCACGTGCTGATCTTCACAAAAGCACACATATGGCGAAGCATTGATTCACTACGATTTCCGTCTCGCGCCTCCGACCATGAAGCGGGCGCGATGGCGTTCACAGGTGGTTATTGGTTTTTGGTACGGTGGCAGTGGCGGCCGTGTCAACGGATAAAAGATGCATTGTGGGCCGACAATTTGTTGGTGGAGTTCGACCACGATCCCGTCCCCACCACCATCCGCAACAGGTCAGGTAATCGGACATGCTCCCAATGCGGCTGCGCAACAAGTTTGACTGGGCGTGCTGCAAGCATTGTGGTGTTTTCCGTGTGGATCCTGGCGGTGAGCACCTATTTCCACCGGGCAAGTGGGCTGAGAGCCAACATCGAGTTCTGCAGGCGCTCCCAGAGGCAGGAGCTTTTGGGAGAGGAGCCTAGGGCAATGCTGCAGGAGGTACCAGCCAGCCTCTACCGTCTCGGAGATTTGCCGCGGCCCTACCTGTCATAGCATGAAGTAAAGCAGGCCACCCGGCAGTTCGACAAGTTGGGCGATCGACAGCAGGCAAACACGTACGACAACGAGCTGGCGACCAGGAAGACGCCAGGCCCGTCGGTTCAGGCTCGCGCGGCTGAAGGTGACCGTCGGGGGCCCCGCATAGAGGATCATGTCGCCCACGAGCTCTAACAGCTAGAGCAGCTGGAGGCTAAGATGGCCCGCCAACGGTCGGCCGTTCAGTCACTGGTTTCGTAGTTCGAGACAGTGGAACTGGGCTTCAAGGACGCAGTCTCGGAGTTGCACGAAAAGTTCGCGGAGGGTGGGCATGTGGTGGAAAATGAAAACAAGCATTGGCGCTCGAGGACATCCTCGATGGGAAACTTAAGAACTTCGAGACCACCTGCAACGATTTGCTCGGTGTCCAGGAGAACGTCGATCGATCAACGCCGAACAAAAAGAAGCGATTGATCGCACCCGTGTCCTCACAGAAGGAACCAAAAACCTCGGACACGAATTATTCGGAAAGGTTCGTTATCGCGCAAAAGTCCTCCAGGAGAAAGACGCCGCCATGCTTGGCCACCCGGAGGGAAAGAAGCGCAAGAACAACGAGGGTGAGGCAGTCAGCAAGAAATCGATGGAGGGGCCGCGGCGGCCCGCCCTCCCGCCGAAGCTCTCGGCTCTTCATCTGCCGTGGGCGAGTTGGGCAAGCCGGCACTGGAGACGGCGAAGCATCTGAGGTCAAGCAGCACGCCTTCCTGGCTCTGGCCACGGGCTCAGGGAAGGGCGGAAAGCAGGCTGCAGCTGGAGGCGCGGCTGCCACCCCCCCTGAGCCGCGTTCCTGGCACGGGCAATCCTGGCACGGGCGAGGTTTTGGATCGGTCGCGCGTTTCCCCGAGTGGGTTTCAGAGCTCTTCTTGCTTTGTTTGTTACAGAGGACCTCAGGCAGCCTCGTTCCCCGTGCCCACCGGGACCCCCTGGGAAGAAACCTTTCCAACTATCAGTCGAGACAGTCAGCGCCGCCAGCGGGGCCTCGTTCTATCCGCGGCCACCGCTCTCGACAGCCGAGCTAATCATTTTGCAAGAGCCTCGCCTTCGCCCGGCGGAGCCATCAACTCGGCCGCGCCCCGGGCCAAGCGCCGCGGTTGGACGACGGTGTCAGCCCCGGTTCGGCTCGCGGAAAACATGCCAACCATTGGAAGTGCTTGGTTCTTGGCCAGAGATTTCCCGGGGGCCTGTTCGACGAGAAACATGCCCACGATTGCCACGTGCCAGGCGCGGGGCGCGCCAGTTCATATCATTCGGGGCTCGAGCCCACGCGCCGTCGCATCGCGGGCTTGCGTTATTGCCGGGAACTCCCGGACGCAAGCGTGGATGTCTTGTGTAGCGCGGCAACGTTCGGGGAGCGCCCAGAGATTGAGAGGTCAGAGGCGCACCAAGCAGGCGCGGGACTTGCCCGGGCACTGGGGGCGCGAAGATGATTCCATTCTGCCGCGGGGCCTCGAGAAGGCCATGTCGAGCATCAAGATAAACCGCGTGCCTCGCGTGTCTCCGCACTCCCCTGCCTGGTCTACACTACGCGAGCAGATGGCGTCATCGACAGGGCGCGCCTTCAGGCGTCCACGTCCATTTGCATTCGAGCCGGCCATCGGTCCAGCTCGTGCTCCGCCAGCTACCCGGCCTGGCATCGGGCACGCCGCCGACGGCCTTCTTTGGCCAGTTGATTCAGACAGAACAGGCCCGGCGCAGAAAGGGCTCCGCAACCCGCGCGATAGGAGCGAGGAGTTTGCCATGGCACGACGGAGGTGGCCGGGAGGCCCCGGCGCGCGCGGACCCCGCGCGCCCCCTTTTTCCGGCGGCGCGGCCTAAGGCCCCCGGGCAAGCCAGAGCGGCAGCAGCAGGCAAGCAGCGAGAGAAGGAGGGAGGAGAGGATAGACAGCAAAAGACAACAATATTAAAATGGATGGGAAACGGCTGCCAACCTCATCCTTCGTTCTTTTAAAGTAAGGCAGGACAAGTCTCAGGCAGTAGTTGGCGCGGTCTCAGAAACCTTATTTGCGGCCTTCTCTGCTTTCATTTTTCGGCACGCTTTCCGCGCCTCCTGGCTGTCGGCGGCCCCCGCTTCAGCTGCCCGTCAGTGCTGAGGCGCAGCGCGGGGCAATCCTTCGTTGACATGAACTGGCCTTCCCAATCCTTGTCCTCCCAGTCGGCACTGTCGTTGCCTTTCTGGGTAGCAGGGGCGTCTCCTCGGTCGTTGCCGTCGCAGCCCAGCGCCTCTGCCTCTGAGCTGTCTGTCAGGCTGACAGCGGCAGACGACCTAGGTCGCGCCTTCGGCGGCTCGGAGGGAGGAGCTGGCGTCGCAGCCGAAGAGGCCGCGAGCGGCTCGACCACCGTTGCGACAGAGACGCAATCTGGCAGTGGAAGCGGCAGGGTTCCTTCTCGTTCTTGCACTTCCAGCTTTGCCCCGTACCTCTGGGTTTTCTGTCGGTCTCTCTGCAGCCGGGCGGACATCCAAGAACCGGCAAGATCCACATCCCTGCGGCGGCGGCGGTCGCGGGATTTGTCTGGCAATTTTGGCGCGCCTGGCGCTTCGCTACACGCCGTTCGCAGCTGCTTGTCGACCTCCAGACGGTCCGTGAGGATGTCGAATTTAGTCTGCGCGCGCAGCTGCTGCTGGACCAGGCTCGGCGCACGTTCTGCCCATTCCGGTCTGCCGAGATCCTGGCGGCCTTGCCTCCGCGCCATGGCCGGCACCTCTGCGCGGAAACTCCTTTGAGAATCCGTCAACAAATGTCGTTCGACCGCGCCCAGGCGGCCCCGGGCGGCAGAGCTGCCAGCTGCTCCGCCACCAACCTGAGAGTATTTACCCTCTTGCCATGGCACGGCGGAGGTGGCCGGAAGGCCCCGGTGCGCGCGGACCCTGCGCGCCCCCTTATCCGGCGGCGCGGCCCAAGGCCCCCGGGCAAGCCAGGGCGGCAGCAGCAGGCAAGCAGTGAGAAGAGGAGGAAGGAGAGGACAGACAGCAAAAGACAACAATACTAAGAATGGGTGACGGCTGTCAAGGTGGGCCGATTCCTTAGGGAAAGAGGAGCTCAGGCCTCCTCGCCGGGTTTCTGGCCGCGCATCGGACTCAGGGGATAACCGCCCGCTCTTCACTGGGCCCCAGTTTTGAGAGAGATCAAACCGAAGGAGTAGGACGCTCGTTTGTAAATAGCCGAGCCAGGTGACCTGTCGGCACGTTTCGGCAGCACCTTCTCAAGGCTGACATGCATCGCTCCTGCAGTCAGTGCGCGGACGCCGAGGCATCGCCCCCCCACCCACCCCGAAGTACATCCAGGATAACAAGGCTAGTTATTTCCAGAGACTGGGAAATGCGCGGGAGAACACAAGGTCGGAGGTCCCAGGGAGGAAGAGGGGGCCCCAGGCCTTGATCACCAGAGCCAGGGCTGAACATGCTTAGGACTGGGAGCGCTGGATCCAGGAGCGAATTT